TGAAATATTGCATTTGAAATATTTCATTCACATTGCTGCTAGTGTGAAACCCCTATAATGGAAATTTTTATCATCTCGATGTTGTTGTTGTTATGATTGCACACAACAAACGGATGTTTGATAAATGTTTATCATTCGAGAAAAATTAATTAGATTTTTTTTTCAGCTAAATCTGATTTTTTGTTTTGTTACAAATTCAACAGGCAAACAAAACCCATTAAATCTTACCACCTACCACCAAATATTATTGCTGGTTTTTTTTTGGTTTCATCATTTTATAGAAACATAAACGGTGATAAATGTGTAAAATAATCGCATCATTTGATTCGATTGAAAATGAAATAAACAGACATGCAAAAAATGAAGTATTTGAACGAAACACACACACAATAGGATATCATCATCATTAAAATGGCAATATTCGCAATCAATTATTTTCCTTTTTGATAACCGAAATCAATTTCATCATTGTTTTTCGGGTTCAACTTGAATTATTACATGGAAAATGAAATATTCTTTCTAAAGGACAACCTACACACACACACACACATTCTGGAAACTGGAAAACTGGAAAAAAACCAATTCTGCTTGATTGTTTTTTTGCTATAATCAATTTTCAAAATCAAATAAAATAAAATATATATGACCACCATGTATAAACAATGAAAATTATGTAATGATGATATTGAAATTGGAAAAAAAATTGATTGAATCATTCATTCATTCATTAATGATTAGCAATATGATAAAAATGCAATAAAAAAGTTTTTTTGTCTTTGAATTTCATTGCCTCTGTGCAGAGTTTGTGTGTGGATTTTAATTTCGATTCGGTTTTATTATTATTATTATTATTTGCTTTGTTTTGTGTCAATAAACGTGAAAAAAATTAATTTGAAAATTATAACGAAATAAAATTTCTTTTTAACCACAAAAAAAGAACGAGCAAAGAATTCATTTGAATTCTTTGTGCATTTCATGCGAATAATAATGATAATAAAAAACAAATAAAATTTGAATTATAAAGAATTTTGTAATAATCAAATTCAATTTATAATCTAATAAAACAAGTAAAGTATTTTATAGCCAAAAAAAATGATAATAATAAAAAAATATAATGAAACCATTACCTTTCCATGATTAATAAAACCATAACGTTCAGCCAATTGTTGTGCAATTTGATCATGATATATTTGTTGATTAATATCATTATCCAATAAATGATCATAACAATTATTCAATGCTAATGCAAATTCATTTGTATAATGATATTTATTATTATTATTGATTGTTGTTGTTGTTGTTGCTTGTACGGTTATTGTTGTTGAAAATATTAATAATATTATTATTAATAATGATGACCATATTGTAATCAAATGATTATTATAATTTAAAAATGATGATAAAAAATTAATTTTTCTATTAAAATTATTATCATTATAATGATAATTATTTCTAAAATTATTATTATTATTATTATTCGACATTGTTTTGAATGGCAGAATTGTTTTATTATTCGTTGATTTGCAATGTTTTGTATGGTGATGATACTGATGATTCTGATTATGATGATGATGATATCGACAATTTTGTTTGAAATTTTTTTCACTATTATCTTCCATACATGATGATGATGATGATGTTGGTAATGATGATGATAATGTTATAGTATGATGATACCACATGATATTTAAATATTGAAATTTTTCCAATGAATCAACCGAGATTTTTATCAAAATAAAAAAAATCCAAATCAATCAAAATATGATGGCAATTGATTGAATTTATATATATCACGTTCGAAATGTATTTCTTCGTTACGATAACGATGAAAAATTCATTCAGCTATGTATTTTGATATAATTTGTTTGTTTGCTTGCTGAAATGACAAATATTTTTCTTGATGATGATTGCGATGATGAAAGAAGGGTGGTCTTGATTGATTGATCGATTGATTGACGAGATATTGATGATGATGATTTTGTTTTTAAAGAAAATATTGATTTAAAGAAAAAATGGCAAAATCTAGTGATAAATTTTGTTTTGTGGTTTGAAAGACGTTTTGGTTTTTCAACTAAACAAAAAAAACTATAAGTCATCAAGTTACAAAGTATAGTAGGCCATCATCATCATCATTGATTTTGTAATGATGATCATCATTGAATAAAAATGAAAAGGAAAGGAAATCAACCAGCAAAACGAAGATCACACTTTTGTAACAACAACAACAACGATGAAATCAATCTTTTTTTTTGTAATTTTGTCAAATGTCAAAAAAAATTGACATTTTTCATGCGATAATATGCGTTGTGTATCAGTAGTTCTAGTTTGGAAAGTCGAATGTATAGAAATAAAAAAACGGATGTAAATGTGTTTGACAATCCGTTTTTCCTTTTGCTTTTTTTTAAATTATTGATTTATGTATTTCAAATCATCAACATTTCTAAATTGATTAATCAAATTTCATTCGCCTGTCGTTGTCGTTGTTACAGATATTTTTGTGGTCGCTATTGAGATAATGATGATGATTGGAATCACAAACACACACTTTATGCACAAGTTTGGAGAGAGGAAAAAAAATTATTAAAATATTTTCACTTTGATGATGGGGAAAAAAATGTTTTTTTTTCTTCTTCGGTCCGTTATGTCCGGAATGTTTGTTTGATTTTCCCGAAAAAAATGTGTGTCTGATTTGTTGATTAAAATACTTTTTTGTATGATTTATTTGATATGAAACCGAACAACAACACAAAATTTTTAATTAAAACATTGCAATCGTTATGTAATCGTTGATGGTTTGAGTGATAAAGTGAGAAAGAGAGAGATATCAAAGAATATTTTGATTTTTTAAAATGCAAAAAAATGATAATTCCACAGATATTTTCACTTGTTTTTGTTTGGATAATTTTTTTGTTTTCAAACGTTGATTATCAATGTTGTTTTGTTTTGTTTTGCAATGTTGTTGATGATGGTTAATAATGATGATGATGGTTGATGATTATGCTGGCAATAATCATTTGAAAACAACAAACAAATTTGCCTGGTTATAATGATTCCAGGTCTGGTATTTTTTGCTTCGGCTGGTGCTGGTGTTTTAGAAAAAAAATTACCCAAATATTTTTCTTCGTTTTCTCTTCTTCTTTTCGGTTTTTTTTTGTTCTGTCGGTCGGGTGAAAAAAAATTGGTTAATTTTCTGTTTTTCGGTTAAAAATATACACACATGGATGGCCAAAAGAAAATCAAAATTGACTAAAAAAAACAGCTGAAATAACACCAAAAAAAACACAGAAAATCACCATGAATGAAAAACCAGCTGTGTGTATCAACACACCAACCAAATAGATTTTTTTTTCTGTGATCAACAAAAAATAAATAATCGTCTTCGTCGGTAAAAAGATACTAAACAAAATGATGGTTGGTCGGTTGGTTGGTTGATGGTGGTGGTAGCAGTAATGGATAATTGATGGAAAGAGAGAAAATCAAAACAGCGACGACTCTGTTTTGGAAAAAGAAAGAAAAAAAAACTGATTTTCTGTTTTCAATAATGGATGATGATGTTGGCACAACCGCCTTTCGTTCGGTATATTCTCTCTCATTGATTGATTGTTGGTTGGCCAATGAATATCCCTGAATATACAGGATCCACAACGAATACAGCTACCTTTTTTTGTTGTTGGTGGTCGGTTTATCAACAAATGATGGTTGCAAAAAAAATTATTTCTCTTTCTCTTTCCTTTTCATTATTACACTGCATGCGAAAAAAAGACAAGGCGATCAACAAACAAATTTGTTAACATGAAAAAAAGCATAATTCGGGGGGAGGATGAGAAGGAGGGGAAGATAATTAACACACAGGTTGTTATCAATATTTTTTTGTGTTTTTAAAGATGATGATGTACATTCGATAATGATGATGATGGCTTTATGATTTTGTTCAAAGATTCATCATTGATCTTCAATTCAAAATCAATCAAGATGATGGTCATTGAATGACGACGACGAATAAGAATTTTTCGAATCTTTTATTATTCAACATTGGAAATTGTCGATGATGATGATAATCTAAATATCTGATAAAGAAAAGAGACAGAAAAAGTAAGAGAAATGAAATGAAATGGAAAAAAAAGAAGAACTTTGATTTCAATTGGAGGTTGAAATTTTTTGTCAAGTATAACTGATGATGATGATGATGAGAACTTGTCACTAATTTTTCATTGTCATATAATCATTCATTTTTCGTTCTCAAGACGATCCTGTTTTCATTTCATTTCGTTGATTGTTAATGAATAAATAAATGAATGGATGGATGGATGGATGGATGGATGGATGTCACACATATATTAAAAGATCCATAAATTCATCAATGCGTTACAAACATTTTTCTGTTGTCATTGTTGTTGTCATTGTTAAAGCTGTTTTCTGCTGTTTAACAACCAAAATATAATCAGAAGAAGAAAACAAAAATAAAACCTGCAGTTGTTCACTGTCAAACTTGTTACCTGTCGAAAAATTGAATAATCTCTCTCTTTTTTTTCATGTTCCAATTAAAAATTTTTGGGTGACATTTCACCCCCCCGTTTCAAAAAACATTCGAAATTTCAAAAAAAAAAAAAAAAAAAAAATTCAATTTTATTTTGTCCTTTTGTGCTGATCNTTGTTGTTGTCATTGTTAAAGCTGTTTTCTGCTGTTTAACAACCAAAATAATCAGAAGAAAACAAAAAAACAAAAATAAAACCTGCAGTTGTTCACTGTCAAACTTGTTACCTGTCGAAAAAAATGATTGAATAATCTCTCTCTTCATTTTTCATGTTCCAATTAAAATTTTTGGGGTGACATTTCCCCCCGTTTCAAAAAACATTCGAAATTTCAAAAAAAAAAAAAAAACATTCGATTCTATTTCGACCTTATGCTGATCGATTTAGTTTCTTCAGAATTTTTTTTTTATAAAAATTTTAAAATTTTAAAAATTTTAAAATTCCATTTTCCAATTTATTTATCAATAATAATAATTAAAATTAGGCAAAAAAAAAAATCAAAAATAAATTTCCAATTTATCATCGTCGTTATTACCGATGATGATGATCATTTAAAGAGAAAGGTTTTTTCTTTTGTAATATAAAAAAATATTTATAACGTTTTTTTTCAATTATTAATAATAGTAATAATAATAATGGATAATAATGATAATGAATATGGAATAAAAGATGATGATAATGATGATGATAATCAAATGTAGATAATATTATTCTGTGTTTTTATATTCAGAAGTGAATATAATTCATTTATGAAGGATATCCGCCATTTTTACCATATCTGGTGTGTGTGTGTCTGTGTAAGTAAATGCTGTGTGTTTGGTCTTTCCATTCAATTATTGATGATGGATATTTGGGGTTTGTTGTTCGGCTGGATAAAGAATGATGATGATAATAATGTTGAATAGAGAGCTGCTGCATTAAAGAATTTGACCCATGAAAAAGATGGAAAAAAATCGATTTCCGAAAATGAAAAACATAAAAAAAAAACAAAATTAGAAATGTTTTGACCAATTTTTTTTCTTTACAAATATATTCTTCAAGTACAAACCTAACCTTCGGTTAATTTCTATTTCGTTTCGGGTTGTTGTTGTTGTTGGAAAACGAATATTTTTACTTGTTTCGTGTGTCTTGAATCGACAGGAAGGAAGAGAGTGCAAAAAAGAGAAAAAATGTCAGTCAAAACGGAACTGGCGTCATCATTATGAACTTACCAGATATTTTTGTTTATTGAAATCGTCGATTACATGGCTATTTTCATCCATCCATCATTCATTGCATTAAATCATTAATGGCTGTTTCAAAACAACGTTTCAATTCTTCAAATGAAACAATAATAACATTTTGTGCATCTCTTGATATCAAACAAATTTTTTCCGGTGATCCAATATCAAATTTATTTAAATTTGATATAATATGACCAAGATCAAGCCATGGTTTACCAGTTTCATCACATTGATGAAATAAATAATCACGAAATAATTTTAACATATAACGATCACCAGTTTCAGACCATGTTGGATCAAGTTGATGTTCCGGACGTTCATTTATTGTACCTAATTTCGATAATAAACGTAATAATCTACCATTATCAACTTCTTTTGCTAATTCATCATAAAGATAATCATAACGTAAATAAAAATAATCAAGTTGCATATAAAAACGTGCACCAATCATTGGCATTATATCATCAATTGATCTTGGCTTTGATGTTGAATTTGTTTTAAATGTTATTAAATACAATATTAAATTTCTTAAATCATTTGAATAATTACGAGGTATTGTATCAATATATTCTTGTATATTATTATTATGATTATGATGATTATCACGTTGTAAGGCTGATGATGTAAATGCTGTTAATGAATTTGTTGCTATTGATAAACAAAATCTACCAAATAATATTAAATCTTCTTGTTGTAGATGTTGTATGAATGCACGATGATTATTAGCTGATGAATGAATTGAATCCAATGTTAGTATATCGGTTACACCACAAAAACTTAATTTAACACGTGCATCACGACCACGATTAATATTTGAATGTGTACCATTCACACCACCACCACCACCACCACTTGTAATGAGAATTTTTGTTGGATCTAATGAACGAAATGCTAAATTTGATTGATGTATTGTTCTTAATGCTGATGATATCTGTATAATATAATTCCATATAGTTTGTTCTGGTAAATATTTTCGAGTATTTTGTTGTTGTTGACTATATGGTCGTGATGATGTTGAATAACCATTCATTGTCATTGTTGTTGTTGTTGTTGTTGAATGATTACCACCACAACCACCACTATTATTACCAATAGTATTTAATTGATTGGAAAAATAACTAGACATAATTGTTTCGGCTAATGGATAATAATCATAAACAAATATCACAGAACTATCTCCAAATGATTTTGTTGTAAAAACTTGTCGTAATGGTATTATATTTGGATGTTGTATCCTTTTCCATGATTCAATTGTTCCCATTAATAATTTTGTATTAGCTGTATTTGGTTGAAATGAATGAAAACGACGTAAACAAAATAATTGTCCAGTTTCACTGTTTGTTGCACGATAAACAGTTGATATCATACCATTAAATGTAAATGAACTGGCACCTGATATTTGATCTATTTGTATTAAATCAATGAACACATCAACTTTCGATGGTATTTCAATATTTATTGTTTCACTTGACATTTCTTGTATTTTAGCCATACGTCTGGTTAATTCATCACGTATTGAATCGGCAATAAAAAATGTTGAATTTGAATTATCAATTTGAATTTGTTGTGGCTGTTGTTGTTGTTGTTGTTGATGTGAATTGATCATTGATACAGTAGCATTTGTTGTCGTTGATTTTGATGATGATAATAATGATGATGATGGTAGTGGTTTATTTATCGTCGAATTATGTTGTTGTTGTTGATGCAATGATGATGATAATGAAGAGGAATTATGATCATGATTCGAATATTGAAAAGATTTTTGTGTTGTTGATGATGTTGAATCAATATTTAATTGAGATAAACGTGAAGTGATTACATGTGCCGCTTGTTGATGTTGTTGTTGATGATGATGATGATGTTGCGGTTGTTGTTGCGGATGATGATGATCATAAAATGCAGCGATAACATTATCTGCAGCCATTGTTGTTACATATGGTGCATAATGATGATCGGAAGGCATCGATGATGCAGCAGCTGCTGCTGCAACTACCGCTGCATAATTATTCGAATGTGTTACATCAGGTGGTGGTGGTTGTTGTTGTTGTAATACAGATGTTGCTGTTGATTGATGATCAAGAACACCAACAAAATAATCGGCTGGTGTTTGTGATAAAGATGATGTATTAATATGATAATCTCGATTTGTTGTTGTTACAGGATTTGGAAAGAAACTTTTGTTTTTTAAAAAATTCAAAGGAAAGAAGAGAAGAAAATGATTTAATTATACAATGTTTCAATTATCATCATCATCATCATGGTTGAAACGAAATTCATTTCCATCATAAGATGATTTCTGTTTTAAGTTTTTTGCTTACCTGTTAATCACTTTTGTATTTCCATTTGTTGTTGTTGTTGATGATGGCAATAGGCCATCCATGATTGTCGATGATTTTTGTTTTCTTCTGTTTTCGTCGATTATTCCGGACTAAATTTTGCAGAATTCAAAGAATTATAATACAAAAAACAAAGCAAATCCAAACATACCTGGGATCGAATCTTTCGAATATTTTACTAAAACTGTTGTTGGGGGGTTTTTTCCTATTCAATCCATTCGAATCATAATTACTGTGTTTTTTTGGTCGATAAATTCAGTTATTTAAACAAAAATTTTTCAATTGAAAATTTAATTAAAATTTAGTAAACAAACTTACCATACTTGTATACAACAAACACAAACACAACACAAGAGAGGGAGAGAGGGAGAGAGTAGAAAAAAGACAACAGAATAAAAACGGACGGTGGACGGTTGTTTTTGACTCACGCACACAGAACAAAACAAAACAAAACACAGAGGGAGAGAGAGACAAAGATGACAACACAAACATTGAATGTTTCTGGGAAAATTTCTTTTCGAATAAACTTTGTTTTCAATGAAACTTTCTGAAAAAAAGTTTTTGAAAATTTTTAAATTTTTTTTTGAAAATTTTTATTTTTAAATAAAATTTGATTATACCGGATTCTGGAATGATAATATTTATGGATGTATAGAAAAATTAGTGAAAGTACAAAAAGAAAAATGAATTTTACAATCCAATTTATAATGAAAAAATATACAAATGTTTTCTGTTGAAATTATAAAAAATTCATGCTTTCAAATTATGCTCTAATATAAAAATGATGATGATTATAATAATAAACTAAGTTGTTTGATAAACTAATTGATTATGTCGATTGTATAAATCGTTTGTAAAATAATGATTACCAAAATCATTCATTAAATGTATTAAACATATTTAAATCTTCAAATGAATTTTGATCTTGTTGTCCTAACATATGTAACATTTCCATTTCGGATTGTGGTTGTTGTTGTTGAGATGATTGTTGTGAATTTGCATGCGGTGGTCCAGTGATTATTGTATTATTCGATGGTGGTTGTTGTTGTTGTGGTGATTGTTGATGTTGTTCATTAACACTACCACCACTTTGTGACCATTGTGTCCACATTGCTTTTTTATAAATTGAAATAATAAGAATTAGTTAATAAATCAAATATCCATATTCTCCTTACCTGGTGGTCGTGTAGTTGTTGTTCCAAGTTGTGTATATGTTGGTGCAACAGCCGATGGACTACGTGATGGACTAACCTGATTATAAACACCAGATTGATTGGGATAAGTTGATTCGGTCTGATTAAAAATGATGAAAGAATTAATTAATCGTCGATAATCAATCAAAAAGAGAAACATACTCTAGTCATATTTCTTGTTGCCCAAGATTCATTCGATGAACTTGTTACCACCATTTTATTCAATGATGGACTATTATTTTGTGTTGTTGACATTTCTGTTTGATTCATTGTTGTTGTTGTTGTTGATAATAAACCATTTGGATTATAACCAATAACATTTGGATCCGTATAAATAGAATATGGCTGAAAGAGAGAGAGAGAGAAAAAAACATGATTCGATTATAAACGAAATTAATCCTTTCAACAACAAACAAAATCTACCATTTGATTATACATAGAAGAATCATTAATTCGATGTAGATTATATGAATCAATCGGAGAATCTGTTTTAGTTATTGGATTAATATTCATTGTTGTTCCCATATGTTGTTGATGTGTTACAGGCTGTTGTTGTTGTTGTTGGCCATAATGTTGTTGTTGTTGTTGTTGTCCATTATCAATTGCAGATGATATAGTTGTTGTTGTTGTTTGTGCTTCATTCATAATTCCATCATTATGATGCATATTTCTGTTTTTTAAAAATAATATGTTTCAATCAATATTGAAATTTTGAAACCAAAAAAACAAACTTACTTTGTCGATGTATTTGTACAGACAATATATTCAACATCATCAGTATATGGATTATGGAATGCAAAACTACTTGTACGAAACCAAACCCAATCACAATTTTTTGCACGAAATCTATACATAACCGACATAACTTGTCCTTTTAGGCTGAGAACTGTAAGTAAGTAAGTAAGTAAGTGGAGAGAAAAGGAAATAATGAAAATTTGAATCAAAAATTTAGATTTCATTGATTGATGAACCATACATACCATGTTTAAAACTTTCTTTCATATGATTTTGATCTTCCGGATGATAATAATCGAAACAAATTTTACTTAATAATTCTTGTGGTTGATAACCAAGTATATTTGTAATACGTTGATCAACAAATGTAAATTTTCCATCCAATGAATGTCTTGATATAAATTCATTATTTGCATTGGTTGTCATTAAATCATTTGTATTTGGTATTGATGTTACTTGTAATCGGCCAATAGCAACCATACAACAATTATTAACCTGATGATGATGATTATCATCATTATTATCTAAACGTTCAATTTGTACACCAGTTGGTGGCCAATTTTTTATATAACCAGTACAATGGACAACAGCATAATGATTACCATCAATACTAGCACCAAGACCACTACGTTGTCTAATACGATGTAAATGATTTGGTGATATTGCATCTAATGGTAGATTACCAATTTTCATACGACAAATAAAACCACGACGTGAACCCATACAAAGTCTCATCGATGATTGATGTCCTTCTTTTTTAACAGTTCCGGCTATTTTAACGTTTCAACAAAAAAAAATTTGTATTGGATCAATCGATCGTTTCAAAAAGAAAAAACACTTACTTTTAAGATCCAAAATACGACCACCATTTGGTGATTCTTGTGTGGAAAGTTGTTCACGAACTTTTTCCACATCTTCCGGATGAATTAAATCATAAATACAAGTATTAAAAAAATCTGATTGTGAATGATTTAAAACAGGTGTAACCGAATCCGATACATAAATAATACGACCAGAATCACATGAAACAACAAATAAAAAACCATCTGCTGCTTCTAAAATTAAATGCTTTAATTCTTGATCAGTTAAAAATGATGGTTTATATGTTCCATCATTATTTGTATTTCCAGTTCCACGTAATGATTTCATATGTGCAACAGCCATACGTAATATTGTTAATTTATCTGGTTTTCTTGCTAATGCTGAACATGTTGGTACCATATCAGATAATTCTGTTATATATGCTGTCATTTTATTACGACGACGACGTTCAATTTCGCTATGATTTTCTCTATGATTTTATTTTGAATATAAATTTATTCAATGTAAAAAAATCGTAAATGTTTTTTTAAACTTTTAAAACAAACCTTGCAAAACGTTCTTTATCCTGTACAGTATCGTCATCCATATTGTTATTATCGTTTAGTTCGAAATTATCGAATGATGATGATTGAATCTTCATTCAAACTAATTGATGAAATGAAATGTGAAAAAAATGACAAACAGGTAAACAAAAACAACAAAAAGGTAAACTCAAAATATGAATGAAAAACGTTGAGTCAAAAATCTAATTAGATCGATTCCATAGACACACATAGGTAGAAAGAGGAGAAAAAAACGTGATTGTAGGCCGGATCTATTTGATCGTCCACTTCAAACAACAACAACAAGTGATAGATCAAAATCAACAACAACAAAAACCTAAAAAAACCAAAAATATTTTGTTTTGATCCGGATTGTGATCATTATTAGGGGCGGATCATTAGCCGAAGGCATCAATTATTGATCACCATCACCATTATGGTCCCCTATCTACCTTTAAGATAATGGGAGGTTCATCGTTTGAAGATGAACATGAAGTTAATGGTATAGTAGTTCTGGTCATTTCAATACATAAACTTTGACCCCTAACCAAAAATAAAATACCGCGCGAGCGCGCGCTTAAACCAGAAACAAAATGAATAATTACCTTTCGTTTTTTAAAGTAAAAAAATTGTGAAATTATCTGATTTCAGAAAAAGGAAAATTCAAATTGGATTCTTTGTTTTCATTCTGGATTTTTCTATTTCCACTTAATAATAATGGTGGTTTTCAAAAAAAAAAAAAAAAAAAAAAAAAAAAAAAAAAAAAAAAAAAAACACACAAAAAAAAAAAAATTTTTTTTTTCCNTCTTTATCCTGTACAGTATCGTCATCCATATTGTTATCGTTTTGTTCGAAATTATCGAATGATGATGATTGGCGAATCTTCATTCAAACTAATTGATGAAATGAAATATGAAAAAAAAATGACAAACAGGTAAACAAAAACTCAGCAAAAAGGTAAACTCAAAATATGAATGAAAAACGTTGAGTCAAACTAACAAAAATCTAATTAGATCGATTCCATAGACACACATAGGTAGAAAGAGGAGAAAAAAAACGTGATTTGTAGGCCGGATCTATTTGATGGTCCACTATAAATACAAACTTCAAACAACAACAACAACAAGTGATAGATCAAAATCAACAACAACAACAACAAAAATTTTTGTTTTGATCCGGATTGTGATCATTATTAGGGCGGATCATTGCCAAAGGCCTCAATGAAATTATTATTGATGATCATCACCATTACCATTATGGTCCCCTATCTACCTACATAGATAATGGGAGGTTCATCTTTGAAGATGAACATGGTATAGCAGTGATGATGACCATTTCGATACATAAACTTTGACCCCTAACCAAAAATAAAATACCGCGAGCGCGCGCTTAAACCAAAAAACAAAATGAATGAATTACCTTTCGTTTTTTGAAAGTAAAAAAAAAAATTGGGAAATATTCTGATTTCCAGAAAAATGAAAAATTCAAATTGGAATCTTTGTTTCCATTCTGGATTTTTTTCTATTTCCACTAAATAATGGTGGTTTTTCAAAACAAAACAAAACAAAACATCATACAACACGCACATCTTTTATATATACAAACACACATCTTTTATACCACTCGTTTCGAATGAGTATGTATTCGAATGTGTGAATGAGAACAGCCCTGATGTGTTATATATAGTCAATCATCAATCGAAATATTCATTTGATTATCATTCAGTTCAGTTAGGTTAGGTTAGGTTAATGAATATATGAACTATGACTATGACTGTGATTCATAGTTGAGTGAGGTTAGGTTGATGACTATGACTTTGATTCATAGTTGAGTGAGGTTAGGTTGATGACTATGCCTATGACTTTGATTCATAGTTGAGTGAGGTTAGGTTAATGAATATATGAACTATGCCTATGACTTTGATTCATAGTTGAGTGAGGTTAGGTTACTGACTATGACTGATAGTTCGATGAGGTTAGGTTAGGTTAATCAATTATCAAAAATGAAAAAAAAACAAACAAACAAACAATATTTACGTTTTTGTAGATATGATTTGATATGAAATATTTTTATTTATTTTTTTTTTTTTTGAAGAAAAAATGATGCAAAATTTACTTTAGGATTTACATTAAAGGATTACCATCACCAAACAAAACAAACATTCGAAATTGTTTTTTTTACACAGAAAAAAAGTACGAAAAAATTGATGCAAAATTCGTAAATAAATTGACGTTTGTTGACGTGTATGAGCTGTTTGTTTGTTTGTTTGTTGTTATTTTCAAATGTTGATGATTAAGGTGAGCTCCTTAACTCCAAATAAACAATTGGACAATAGAGAGAGAGAGAAAGAGAGATAGATAAACGTTTTGTTAGACAATCCTCACTTATACATCCTCACCTGGTCAACTGTTATTATTTTTTTTCCTCTAAAAAAAACAAACTAAAAAAATCATTATTCTGAATTCAAGTTTCGGCTACGTTTTCTCTATCTATCTCTCTCTCTCTCTCTCTCTCTCTCTCTCTCTCTGACTATATATACTCTATGTCAGTGATTCTCAACCTTTTTGTTGTCGCGGCACAATTTTAGAATTTTTAAATATATAACAGTTACATTTTCAGAATTTCGCGGCACACCAAAGTGCCGCGGCACACTGGTTGAGAATCACTGCTCTATGTATTCACCATTTGGTAGTAGTAGTGGTTCCACCTTTTTTTTTCTTTCTTTTGTATCATCATTATCGAGATAGCGAAGTAGTGGCCAATCACAACATCATCAATGGTCAAGCTGAATGTGGACTGGAAATACTGTCCACTGGATGGCACCACTAGTCATCGGAATTTTTTTCGAATTCGAATGTTTTTCGAAAAAATTCGAATGAAAAAAAAAATTGAATTAAGAATTTCTTCAAATATTTAAATGGTGTTTTTTTCCATTTCAGATTCAAACAAAATTCAATAACTAAAAAATGATCATTTTGAAGCTAATATTTTCAAGTTTAACAACATTAATAATCAACATCAACATTATCAACATCAACATCAATAATAATAATTGTTTTGTAAATGGTTTTTATTATGCAAAAAATACCAGCGATATAATGACAATTGGAGAATTAAAAAATGGTTCATTATTATTAATATTAAATGATAAACAATCATATATGATTGATTTTTATAGAAAAAATTTATGGAAAGATATTTGGTATTCATTGGAAACACCAATGATTCGTTTAGAAAAACGTTGGCCATGGTTAAAACAATTATCATTATATAAAAAATTATTAGAATATGATAAAATACGTTCAACATCTTTCGTACTTACAAAAGAAGGTGATGATGGTTGGGCTATTTTCGGTCATCGTATGGCCGTATTAATCAATCTGGATAAACGTTATTCATCATCAATCAATACAACATATATAAAAAATTATGATGGCCGTTATGCAATATCAACAACCAATAAAGAATTAGCATTTTTAGAAAATGATACAAAATCAATATCAGTTGTAACATATAATTGGTCATTTCATGAAGTTATACGTGATTATTTTCTTTGTTCGGATCATAAAGTTGCATATGTTTTTAAACAATGTCCACAATATTCTGATTATGTAGAATTTCCATTCATAACAAATGGTTTTATTAATGAAGATCGTTTTGTTTTATTATTTACAAATTCAAATCTATTATATCGTTTTCCAATCGATACTGGTTATATGGCAACAATTAATACATCAAATTTTTTTAATACTAAACCACCAATTCCACCATTAATCAATCATCGTTTGTGTAAGTAAAATTTATAAATTTGTAATTTTTACAAGAAAATTATCTAATTTTTAATTTATAATTTTTTGTTTCTCCAGTAATATTTTTAATAATATTTTTGATTGTAGTTGGATTAGCCGAATCATTTGCATTGATTAAATGTGGTATGGATCATAAAAAAATTGTTAGCTATACAAAAAATTTATCCGCATCATTAGAATCGGCTAATATTATTCGTAATAATGATAGTTCATTAATGATTGAAACAAAAGAGAAAACATCACCACCACCAGAAAGTAAAAAACGTAAAGGTAAAAAAGGAAAATTACCACCACCAGGTGATCCAGCACCATTAGCCGATTCATTTTTAACAAATAATAATGATGATTCAAGCAAATCATCAACAAATAATTCATCAACAGTAGTACCATCAACTAATTCATTATCGAATGCAAAATTAGGAATAAGTTCAACATCGGATAAAAGTCAAACAAATAAACAGAATAGTTCGACATTTTATTCATCAGCAATTGGAAATAATCAACAACAACAACAACAACGACAACAATCAACAGAATCATCTGAAGAATCAACATCGAAGAAAAAAGATAAAAGTCCATTATCGAAAAAGAAAAAAGCTACTGGTGGTGGCCGTAAAAGTCCAATATCAACAAAGAAAAAAGGCACTGATGGCGGCGGTAATCGTTCAAGTCCAGTATCGAAAAAGAAAAACAAAGGACAACAGCAACGTAATAGTCCAATTTCATCAAAGAAAAAAGGTGGCCATCATGATAATAATAATAATAGTAGTCCTATTGAAACAACAACGAAAAAAAAGAAACAACCTAAAAGTACTCCTGATCGTAAAACAAAAAAACAAAAACGTTGATTTTGATTTTGTAAAACAAAATTATTCAAAAAAAGTAAATTATCTTTTTTTTTAAATATTTTATTTACAAACAAATCTACCTCAACAGAGAGTTATCACAAAAACGAAAAAAAAAACAAAATTATAAAAACATTGCACAAACAAAAGTAATAAAAAATTATTTACAAAGAGATAGACCTGGTCTGAACAAATAAGTATTTTTTTACTCTAAAAATAAATTAAAAAAATTTGAGAAAAAAAATTAATTTGGTTTCGTTTCGTCGTTGTCGGAATGATGAGAATTTTTTTGTTGAAAATTTTTAAACAATTCAAAATTAGCCGTTTCAATTTTTTCTTTGGTTTTAAATCCTGGATACAGGCCATTTTGTTGTGTGACACGATTAATACCTTTACTATAACCATTCCAATGATTACCAGCGATTCCTGTGTGATTAATTTAGTAAAAAATGATTAGAAAATTGTAATTTGAAAAACAGCAAATGAAACAAACCAATAATATCACCACGCTTGAGAGTAATTTCTGAATCTTTCATTGGATCATGATCCAGAATAGCAATCTGATTATGACTATTTTGACCACCAAAATAATAAATATCATCAAGTGAGAAAAAATCTTTGGATCTATCGACACCAGGCTAGAAAAACAACAATGAAATTTAGATAAGATTTAGGTGTTTTCTTTGGTTTTTTTTTGAAAAAACATACATTTTTCGCTTGCATCAATTCATATGCTAAACGACAAACTTGTGAACTAAATGTACAAACAATAAAATCCGTTTCGCTTAACATCCAAACATCAAGTATAATATTTTTAAGCGAATCAAATGAATATCGACGATTAACGCTTGCTGTATTGGCTGGTTTTAAGTGATTGGGAAAATGTTTTAGAAATTTAGAAATCAAAAATCAAAAAAACTTACAAATTTCCGAATCACCAATAAATGTATAGCCTTTTGATTCAAATTTTGGTACTTCTTTTTTCCAAACACTTGAATCATCGGTTGCCAGATATACGATACGTTTGGTTTTTGTCTGCAGAAAAAAAATCCAAGGAAAATTTTTACAAATTACAAAAGAAAAACAAAACGAAAATACCTCATTATTTTGTCGTTTTCGAAACAATTCTAACCGATCAAAATAATCATCAACATATAACATATATTCTGATAATGAATGAAATGATGCTTCAGTATTAATTTTATCCGTTCGTCTTACATGTATACCAACAATTGGATGTTGTTGTTCAATTTGAAATTGTTTACGTTTCTCATTAAGAAATTGTTCAATTTCTTTGGATGGTTTCATTATATATTGTAAAATTTGTCCAATAAACCAAACAAATGGTGAACCATGTAATAATTTCAATTCTGAGGATATTTCTTCTGGAATTGTTAATGGTAAATATGATGGTCGTGGTCGTAATGAATCTAAAATTGGTAAATCAATTACTTGAACATTTCGATGTTGCAGTTGCGGTTGTTCATCAAAATGTTGATGATCAATCGAATTAAGCCAATTTGTACGTGATGTTCCTGAATCATCTAAACAATTCTGACTTAACGGTTTGAATGCCAATTCCCACATTGATGTTGTTGTTGATGATTGAGATGAGGATAACTTATCGATAATCGGTGAACGTTGAATTTTATTTACATAACGCCAATTTTTTGAATTTAATATTAATGTACGTTTAGTTGCAAGTGCAATAATCATACAATATGAAAGATGATGAATTTGACAACCAAAACCACAACCTTTATTCAATGTACAAACGATTTTTTCAGCAATCTTACAATCATTTGGATTTTGTAATTTGTGGATTTGTTTCTGTATATAATTCGAAAGTGATTTCAATCGATTTTGTCGATATTTTTCATCACGTTTATCGATAATATCTGTTTTTTTTTTGTGGGGAAAAAATGAATGGAGTTAATTGGGGGAAAAAAACTTGCAAATGAAAACATTACCCAAATCGAATAGCAAACTATTTTTCAATTCTTTCACAAAATTTTTCATTTCAGATTTAACTGTTTCGGTTGAACGAATATAATTCCATAATTCATTTACATCGTTGGTTAATTTTCTTCGACTAAATTCATATTTTGGATCCAATGAATCGATTGTATCAAAATATGATCGTTGGTGTTGTTGTTTTGGTTGTTGTTGAATATTAGATGATTGAAATGAAGATGATGTTCGATCTAAATGATTCAATTTTAATTGTGGAATAAAATTCTGTATCAATTGATGGAGTTCTTCATTTTGTGATTTAAGTGCCGTTAATTCAGCCATTGCTCTACTTAAACGAGCTAATATTATTTCGGTTGATGAATCAACATTATCAATGTTATTATTATTTGAATGATTAAATAAACCAAATGGTTCATTTGATATTATTATTAATAAAAATATAAATAAAAATATTAGGATAAAATATTTGGTAAAATTATTAATGGAAAAATATGTAAACAACATTTCGGTAATTCGGTTTGTTGGTTTATCGGTGACCAAATGGATTGATTACTGGATGAGATTAATGATGACCGAACATTCAATAAACTAAAAATGAAAACAAACAAACAAAAATTTTTTTTATTATACGGTGCAATACCGTTCATGATAAACAAGCAAAGTAATGAAAATTCTTTTCTTCGTTGGCTCAAAAAAATTTGTTTGTTAAAAGGAATTTTTTTTTTCGTCTGCAAATTCAACGTCCGTTCATAAAGAATGTTATATTCGGATTCGAACGTTCTGTATACACATGTTTGGATCAAAAATATTTTGCGGGATATTTTTTCAAAAAAAAAATGTGGAATCGACGACGTTTATTTCAAAGAATCATAACCATAAGATCATCATCGATTGTTGAAAAATGTCAGCAATTATCATCTCAACCAAATAGAATCATTTCGTTTGATCAATTAGAATTACGATCAACATTTGATAAACAGCAAAGAATTATACCGAATGTTACATACCTGAATCGTATCGATCATCATCATTATGATTCGAATCTAAATCTTTATTGTTGTGGTCCAACTGTTTATGATCATAGTCATTTAGGTCATGCAATTACTTATATACGTTGTGATTTAATTATAAAAATGTTACAAGAATTTTGTAATGTAAATATTCATTTTGCAATGAATATTACTGATATTGATGATAAAATTATAAAAAAATCACAAGAAACTAATGTGGATTATCGACAATTATCCAATGAATATTATCAATCATTTTTACAAGATATGCATTCATTACGTATTACGAAACCAGATTATTTGGGTAAAGTTTTAGATAATATTCCAACAATAAGTGATTATATTCATCGGATTTATGATAAAGGTTTTGCATATATAAATTCTGAAACGGGTGATTTAAATTTTGATTATGAAAATTTTCTAAGAAAATATTCAATAAAAAATATACCAAATTTTGGTAGTAATCAAATAACGGAAAAATCTTTTGGTAAACGTTCACCAAAAGATTTTGCATTATGGAAATCATCGACAACAGCAAAATTATCGAATGAACCATATTGGTTATTAAAATTACCGAACGGTACAGAGATAAAAGGACGACCTGGTTGGCATGTTGAATGTAGTGCAATATCTGAATCAATATTTGGTAAAAAAATTGATCTACATTTTGGTGGTCAAGATTTAATGTTTCCACATCATCATTGTGAATCATGTTGTAGTCATGTTTATCAATATAAGCCATCAATAGATGAAAATTCACAAAAATTATATTCAAATGTTAATGTTTGGCTGCATTCTGGTCATCTAATATTACGTTCAGAAAAAATGAGTAAATCATTGGGTAATGTTATATTGATAAAAGATTTTCTACAAAAATATTCCGCAAACATACTGAGATTACTTTGTATACGAACACATTATCGTTCGGGTAAGTTTTTTTCTGAATAAATAATCCATTTGTCTGATAATCCGACAAAATTCCTTGGAAAAAGAGTTTTTTAATTCAATTTTCTCACCTTTCTCTTGGTGAATATTTTCATATAATTTATGTTGATGATTTTTTTTTCGGATTTCTAAATTGAATTCAATAAAATTCAATATTTCGAGGTCATCACTACTACTATATAGTGTCAAGATTGATCATCATCATAATTTGATTGATTGATTGAATACTTTCTTCAGGTTTTTTTTTGTTTTTTTGTTAACCAGCCATGGACATTGACATAGATAATTTGTTTGCGTTCGATGATGATCATAATGATGATGTTTAAATATTGAATGTCTCAAAATAGCCAGTGTCTTTTTGTTTGAACAACTTTATTATTTTAAAAGGCCAAAGTTGAATCCGGGTTTTTCAAAAATCAAATGGTTTTCATTTTTCAAAATATTATGATCATTATCAACGTTTGATTATGTTTGATGATGAAGATGATGACATTGAATTATGATTGAAAATCTAGAGCGAAAAAAATGATGATGATGATGGTCAAATTAATCACATAAATCTTCAAGTTATGATTGGCGATGATAATGATAATGATGATGGTAACATTTTTCATCTTTTTAATTGAAAAAAAAATTAATTGGATCTTTGAATTCGAATGATTCCATTTTTAATATCATTCGATTCTATTTCGACCCAATTAGTAAAAAAAACTTTCGAATGTTATCATCATCATCATCATTGAAATAGTTGATTTTGTCCAACTCTTCTTTTTTTTTTGCCCCCAAAAAATCGATCGATATTTACCAGAAAATTAGGTTGAATTTTTTGCTTTGTTTTTTTTTTGCATCGTTTGTTTGGTAAACAACCTTGTTTTGTCCATTATCATCATTTTAAATTCATTTTGATTTTACCAATGAATGATTATCGTTAAATTACGAATAACAACAACAACAACATTGATCAAATGAATGTTTCGTTGATTTGTTTGTTTGTTTTCATCATCATCATCATCTTCTTCCTATCATCATTTTAGATCTATTTTATGTTAATTGTAGCCTGTCAAATAGTCAAAATCTTTGCCAACGATGATGATCATGTTGATGGTGGCCATTGAGCGAGTGAGTGAGAGAGAAGATAATTTTTTTTTTCGCAATTGGGTGTTTTTTTCTTGTTGTTGTTTGTTTGGTTTGTTTTGGCGATGATATTTTTAGTTAAGGGTTGGCTTCCATCAATGATTATGATGATAGATCAGCAGAAAAAAGAAAAACAGTTTTCACCGATGTTTAAGAGTTTTGTTGTTGTTCAATGCAAACAAACAAACAAACAAACACATCTTGATGGTCAATGATGATGATGGTAAATTGATGATGGCCAATTATCATCATCATCATCATCAACTGGTGAAGAATGGTCATCATCATTTGATGATGATATTTAAATCGATAAATTGAATTTTTTTTTTCAATTTTCGAAAAACTTTTTCGAAAGGAAATTGTTCGATTTTTTTCAAAACTATAACGACACAAAGTGGACATTGAGTGAAAATAGAAAAAATTAAAAAACACCTCGGATATTAATCATTTTTTTTTTAATTTTGTTTTGTTTTTTGTTTCTTTAAAAAATATTTACAGAAATAGATTTTGATGAAAAACTTTTACTTGAAATGTCGGCATTTGATGAAAAATTATTAGAATTACAACGTCAAATTGAATGGGCAATATATAAATTATCGACCACAACATCATTCGACAACAATGATCTATCGATGATGAACGTAACTATCGATACATCGACAATCGATAGTAGTGAACAACAACAACAACAATTATCATTAGATGAATGGATTAATCAAATTGAACAATCAATTTGGTCTGGTTTATTGGATGATATGGATTTAAATCGTTCATTAGTGAAAATAATATGTTTAGCAAATCAATTTTCTGGGATTTTATCATCATCAATTTATCCGGATCAACCACAATCGAAACAAAAATTTTTATTTAATTTAATAAGATTAAGAAAATTATTACAACGTTGGTTTATGGCAACATCATTAGATTATTATGATAGTTTTGATCAATCATCATCATCGACGACGACGACTATTTCGACTGATCAATTGGCCATAGTTGAATATTTAACCGAATTTCGTCAAAATATTCGTCAATCAACATTGTTGATGATGAAAAATTTGAAAAAATTTCAACAACAACAATCCGAACAACAACAACAACCAGAACAACAACAACAACAACTTGAACAACAAAAATTTGAAATGAATAAAATTCTTGAACAATGTGATCAAACAAGAACATTTTTAGAAAAACATGGTTTTAAATTAAAGGTTAGTCAGTCGATTATGATTATTTTCGAAGGTTTTTATTTTCAAATATCAAACAGAGAAACATTTTGAAAAGAAATTGAAAATTATTATTATTAGATTTTCTTTTCTTTTCTTTTCTTTTTTAGTGATAATGACATCTTTCCACTATTTCAATCTCACAGGGTCTATAATTTTATCTTTTTTTCATTCATTCAGTCAGTCAGTCATTCCATTCAACCAGTCAGTCAGTTTTTTAAATACCGAAATTGTTATTAAGGATTAAAGATTATCCATAGACATAAGCACACATGCTTAACACTTATGGAACAGGTACATTGGTCTATACCTGATATTTGAACAAACAAACAAAAAAGGGAGATTAATAATCTTATGGAAATTTTCTTAGCAAAACAAACAAAACAAACGAAAAAACCCAACCCTTGTTTATATGAACAGTTTTTTGATTTATTTTATCCAATTTTCAAAGTTTTTTTTTTTGTTTATCAAAGTTTCATTTTCACGATTTTTCTCTTGATTTTTTTGTTTGTTTTTTAATCACATTTATGAACAGGACCAGCGATCATCGCCATAATTCAATGATTATCTAATCTAATCTGGATCATCATTATCGATAATTAGTGTACATGGATCGTAGCGAGAGCGAAAAAAAAATGTATCGATTTTTTTCCCTTTTTGTGATAACAATTTCACCGTACATTTTTTGATTAAGATGACAAGATTAAGCACGAAAAGAAAGAAGATGATGATGATAATCCGGTTATCTTTTGATCAAAATCCAGTTCTGCCTACACTAAAATCATCATGATATATGTGGATGGTCATCATCATCATTCAGAGATCAAATCAATCATCATCCTTATCCAATTTTTTGTTCGTTGTTGAAGAAGCAGAAGAAAAAAAAACTGAATTTTAATTGGAAAATTTCTTTTTCGTTTATCAAATTTTGAACTTGAAAATTTCAAATTTTTTTTAAATTTTAAAATTTTTCAAAAAATCAAAAATCAAAAAAAAGTTCATTTCTGAAAGGAAAAAAAAATCCTGGATAACCAAGAGTGAATGCAAGATGCTAACCTTGTTTTTGATCTATTTTTATTATGAAGGTTGTTTTGTTGGTCTGTCATTTGATTGAATTTTGATTGATTTGGTTGGAGAAAAAATTGGCATCATGTCGGTTGATTGGTTGGTTGGTTGGTCAGTAATAATCGTCGTCGTCGATGACCACACACAATCATCAAAGTGGTATCAGAATCGATGATTTCGATGATAACTACCACCATGGTCGTCGACGAAAAAATCAATCAAATCATGATCAGTGAAATGAAATTATTGTTTAGAGAAAGTTTCCTCGAAAGTTGGGAAATTTTCTCGAAAAGCTGAGAAACTTTCTTAATGAAAATGAACAGTTTGATCCAGATTTTTATCATTTTTTTCTTTCTCCCCCTCGAAGTTGTTGTTGGTTAGTGACCATTTTTGTTATCAGTCTCAGACGGTCTGTGCATGCATAATGATAATTTATCATCGCACGAATCATCAACAACAACAAAGAAAGAAAACAATGGAAAAACATTTTGAAATGATAACCTTTGTTTCGTTTCGTAAACACTGGCTAAACTTTTTAACTAACTAATTTTCACATGGACAAACATTTGACAGACGAAACAAAACATCCATCCACACACACACGCAACAGGTATTCATCATTACATTTGGAACAAAATAGATTTTTTGTTGTTTTGAGAAACTTTTTCAGTACAAAAAAAAGCTATTTTTAGATTTTTGTAAAGTTTTTCTTCATTTTTTTCATTTCATTTTTTTGAAAATGAAATAAAATTTTTTTCAGGTAAATTATGGATGGACAACACAGGTACCACACACACACACAACAGGTGTTGATTGTCATGATTATCATTTTGTTTTTTGTTTTTTGTTTTTTGAAGAACAAAAAAAACCAAAAGAAAGAGATGCTCTTGATTATTTCGTCGTAGATAATCACCAATGTTGTTGCTGCTGTTTCTTTTTTTTTTAATAAAAAAAGATGGATCATCATCTTTATTTTGGTCATTTTTTTTAATCTGGAAAAACTTTAGTTGTTCAAAAAAGAAGAAAAACAAAAGTCTTTTTTGTTGTTTGCTGGGAATTTTCTCAGTTTTTTAATGAATTCGAAGGATATCGCTTTGATTACTTTTTGATGATTAAAGGATGTTCAGGTTGTTTTTATACAGTGAAAGTTTTTCAACAAAAAAAAAGTTGACACTGCCTGTGTGTCAACAAGCCATTTTATGAAAATGGCCTAATTTTTTCGAAAATGAAGAAAAGCCTTCAGATCCAACACAGGGTTAACAAATTGAGTTTTTTTTCTGTTAGCATCATTATTCAACACAGATGATGATGATCATAGTAATTATCTTAGTCAAGCAAAATTATTAAATATTTTATTTTTCCTCAGTGAAAATTTTTTCTTGCCAAAAATATCGGTGAAAGGGATTGATAGATCGATCGATTGATTGATTGATCCATCGATGATTAGATGGACGACTAAGTTGATTTTTTGTTTACTCGTAAAAAAAATTGAATCAATCAAAAGTTTCTCGGAAAGTTTTCTCTCTTTCCCCCCCCCAGAAGACAAAATTAGTTTTTTTAAAAATTTAAAATTCTGATTTTTTCGGTGATAAGATTTTGTCAAATCAAACTTTTTTCCGAAGAATTTTTCAAATTTAACAAATTTTTTTTTCTAATTAAAAATTGTTATTAAAAAAACAAATTTCCAGCTAACCACCACCATTAATATGCAAATTACCGATTTTATTTAAATTAGTTTTTTTTTTGTGAATTTTTTTAAATCAAAAATCAGGTAATGGTGGTCAGGTCGATCTCATTTTCTACCGACCTTTTCCCATCAAATTCTCTTGATGGCCAAAATCAAAATCAAATGATTTTTTAAACGAAACAAACAAGATTAACCCTTTCTCTCTCTCTTTCTCTCTCTTTGCTCTAATGATGTTCCCATGATGATATCATCATTTTATTTTCAGAGAAAATATCATTACCTCAACCAACCAACCAATCATTATCATCATGAGAAAAAATTTGATTGATTCTAAGAATTTTTTTCTTTTCCATCTAAATCGATCAGCAAAAATATCCCCAAATACCAGCACTATCGATTGTGATCGATAGTTTCGTTCATCCATCATCGAATATAGATTGTGAACATTCGAAATGAAGTTCGATGACATTCGCTTTCACTTTTCTTCGAAAAAAACCAAAAAAACAACGAGAAAAGATAATAAGCTTAATTGAATTATGTGTTTCGTTCTTCAAATCATCATGTGAAGTGTTATATTGCGTGCCATCAACTTATTGTTCGTTCGATGTCGATGTCGATGTTTTTTGATCCATTTTGTGAATAAAACGATTAACACAATGACGTCAACGAATGATGATCATCATTAATGGAATGGTACTATCTCTTGCTATATCTATCACTATCGATACCCGAAATGAAAAGAAATAAAGAAAAACCTATTTATATTTGAAAGTACTTTCGGTTATTATTATTATTGCTACCTGAAACGATCAACAAAAAAAAATGCTTTGCGGTTATCATCATTGATGGTGGTATTTTCTCATTATTAAAAATAGATTTTTTACTTTCGATTTGGGCTGCCATTTCATCATCATCATCATCATCATGTTTGTCGATTGACGATTGACGATCATCATCATGTTTGACGTCGAGCGTTGATGATGACGATCAAGCAAAAAGTATATATCCGCAACATTTTTGATGATTTGAATATTGTGGTGGTGGCCAAACACCTATTTTTTTTGATAATTAATTTTCAAACAACAATTTGAAAATCATTAATCCGATTCGATTTGATTTGGAAAAAAAATGTTTTCCTTCTTCAAATCAGATCACCACCGCCACCAAGCAAACAACGATTATTATTTGCAAAATCTTTAATGGATTATATAATGATGATGATGATGAAGCAGTGAAAGTTTTCACCAGTATTTAATGATTTTTTTCTGATTGAGGAAATTTCATTTTTTTGTTGTTGTTGTTTGACAATCCTTTTTTGGTCAGATTTGAAAAATATTTTGGCCAACAGAAATTTGTTTGTTTTGGGCTAAAGATTTTTCAAGATTTGAACAACAACAACAACAATATTTATCGAAAGTTATCGATGACAAAAATATGATTTTTTTTTTTGTTGAAAATGAAAATAACCAAAATTGGAAAAAAAAGGAGTTTGGTTTTTTTTTCTGTAAAAGATAAAAATAACTTTTTGGTGTTTTTGGTCGAGTGCAATATCGTTTTACAAAAAACAAACCTGGGATGTTTTGTTTTGTTTATTTCACTTTCATTTTGTTGTTGTTGTTGGTGATTCGGGTATTCAAAGAAAAAAATGTGTAGGTGGATCAACCCGAAAACCTGAAAAAAACGAACGAAAATACAGGTCACATGATGAAATGTTTTTGTTTGTTTGTTTTGTTTCGGTTATTATTATCTGAATTGTGTACTGAATGGTTAATTAATTGAATTAAAAAATTCATGTATTTAGGTTAATAGATTTGATGATGATGATGATGAAAGCAATTTTCGGATCTGGAAATAAACCTGGGATCGGTGAGAGAAAATTTCCGGCAATTTGATGATGATGATGAAAGTGAAAATTTCTTTACGGAAATTTTTCCTGTTTGATTATTCGATTGTTTGTTTGTTTGGTTGTACACCATGTTGCTAATTCCGGTTTTGTTTTCATTTTTCAATTGTTTCATTTCGTGATTGTTTTTTTTAGCCAACGTCATCATTATCTGGATGAAAATTTTTTTTCAAAAAAAAATTTCAAACAAACAAAACAAAACAAAAGCGAAAACCATCCGAATTTGATCTATTTTTGGTCAGACCAGCTGCAGCAAACCAAGTTCCATTGTTTTAACTTGAATGCTCATTTCAAAATTTGTTTTGGTTTTTGTTTTGTTTGTTCCATGATGATGACATATATGGAACAATTTAGTTCCGGAGTTGGAAAACTTTTCGCAAATCATTTTTGACCTAAAAATGATTTATGTCGAAATGTAGAATTTTTCATCATTCTATTCTATTTCGACATAAATTGGTTCGAGTTATGATGATAATGATGACATGATTTAATTTAGATTAATCAATTTTTTGTTCTGGATGTCAAAATATTTGCTTACGTCATTCATTCATAGTTGTTGTTCTAATTAATTTTCTCAATCAATCAAAAATTTGCTGAAAATTCGTCGTTGAAATAGGGGTAATGATTGAAAATTTTTCAAACAGAAGCTAATTGTGTGTATCTTTTTTTTTCACAGGTGTTNTTTTGTTTCGGTTATTATTATTTGGATTGTGTACTGAATGGTTAATTAATTGAATTAAAAAATTCATGTATTTAGGTTAATAGATTTGATGATGATGATGATGATGAAAGCAATTTTCGGATCTGGAAATAAAAACCCGGGATCGGTGAGAGAAAATTTCCGGTAATTTGTTGATGATGAAAGTGAAAATTTCTTTACGGAAATTTTTCCTGTTTGGTTATTCGATTGTTTTGTTTGTTTGTTTGGTTGTACACCATGTTGTTAATTCCGGTTTTGTTTTCATTTTTCA